TTAAGATATCAAAAAGTCAAACATACAATATATGAAATATAAAAATACTCAATTACATATATTAAATCAATATATCAATAATTTTAAAATAAAATATGTATCCTAAATATACTAATTATGCTATAAATATTTAGTGCCTATTTTGATATAATTTTATAAAAATTAATTTAAATTTAAAAATTAAACAATTTTCCTTTAAAAAATTATACTCATTTATTATATAGAAATTTTAGAATAATCTAACAATCATTTCATGTTTTTGTCAATGTTTTAATGTATAACAGGTACATCCTGAATAACATTTCACATTTTGATATTTATATTAATATTATATTATAATATTATTATTATATTATAATATTCTTATATTCATATTAATTATTCATATTAATTTTGATATTTATATTAATATTATAATATTCTTATATTCATATTAATATTATTTCTAGAATTTTTTTTTTTATTTCTAGAATTTTTTTAGTTTATGAATATGTGTGATAATAGATTAATACATGTTTGACAGCAAATATTTGTATGAACTGTGACTGAATTAGACTAAAATTGTTCTAAATTTGTATTTGTAGGATGGTTTTACAAATTAAGGGATCAGGATCCAGAATATGATGACATTTACTTCTGGATGCCATCGACTTGGACAATTCTCTTTTTTGCTGCTTTTAATGCTGGCGTTGGACCAATTTCATGGACGCTGTTAGGCGATATCTTTCCTATGCAAATCAGAAAAACTGCCATTGCATGTACAGTCACTTTCAATTGGCTGCTATCTTTAATAACTATAATAACCTTCGGAGAAATATTGAATGCTTTTGGTGTCTCGAAGACCATGTGGCTTTTTGCTGGTTTTTGTTGGATAGCTGGAGGTCTTTGCGCCTTACTTTTAAAGAATACCGCCGGTTATAGTTTGGCTAAGATACAAAAGAGTTTTGGCATTGAGGTTGAACAAGTAGAAATAGACGACACAGATCAAATCTGAAATATTGATAATTGAAAAAATGCGAATAACTAGGCAATTTTGAAGAATAGGTTTGCTAGAAGATGAATGTCTTTTCATCGATATAATATACAATAAAATACATACATGATAATTTAATAGCCTTTATTCTTTGTTTTATTTTGAAAACTTAGTTGTTCTATTCTACATTTTAAATTTTAAGTTTCAGTACACTCCATCGGAAGAATTAAGTATACTCCGAAATTTAATCCGAAATTTAATAAATCATGCAAAATAAATAAAATGAATACTAATTACATTTTATAAATCAAAATATAATTTTAAATCGCTAATCATTAAATAATTGTCAAATAATAAAACATTTTACAAATCAGACAAATTAATTAATAAGCTTTGCAATTTCCAGTAAATAGTAATTAAAATGTAGAATAACCTGTGTTTCTGTATGTGAGTGTAGCGAATAACTAATAATATTATGCTGATAATTTTGTATTGCGTGCGTTTTACAGGAAAACTGAAGTCTCTCTCTCGCGACAACTACGTCCACCATCTTTAGAAAGTTGCATTACCATTTCCGGCCACCTTGAAAAACTCTTTCAAAAGAAACAGAAGAAACCAATCGTAATTAATGGACATTATTTGGCTTTCTTAAATAAACAAATCTTGAAGAATGTCAAACATAAACAAATTACAGGTTAACGATAATGAGTAAATAGAAAACAACTAAAATAATAAATAAATCAGATGATTAAATCTTTGAATCTTCTTTCTCGTCTTCCTCGATGAAGGACACAGCTTTCGGATCGCGCGCTTATATATGCCTGTGCTAGTGCGTACCCTAACTTCGGACTCTTTCATCCTTGCCAGGGTGTAGCTCCACTACTCGTCCTATAGGCCATTGTAGCGGAGGAGAGTTGTCCTCCGCTAGTAAAACCATTGTGTTCAATTCGATGCATTCGCCTTTGATATGCCATTTTTCCGTTTTTGCAATTCTTGAAGATATTCAATTTGCCAACGATTCCACAGAGTCTGTCTAACCTTTTGTAAATGCTGCCAGTCATTAAGTCGATTGTCTAGCGTGTCAACATAATTTTGCAACAGGTTGTATAAGTGAATCACCTAAATAAAAAATGTGCGGGCGTTAAAATTTCGAGATCTAGCGAATCATTAATCATTTGTTAAAGGTGTTAGTGGCCTCGAATTGAGAATAGCTTCAATGTTGGCGAGGAGCGTGTGCTGTACTCTTCAAATGTGAGTAATTTTCCTTGAGTGACTGTATACAGATGCTTCTTCATGATTTTCACTGTGGCCTCCCAGAGGCCTCCAAAGTGAGGAACACGGGGAGGGATGAAGCTCCAAGTGATTCTTTGCTTAGTCAAGGCAGTAGCAATGTCTCATTCTCTTGTCTTAAGAAACTGATATATGTCTTCCATCTTCTTACTGGCTCCAACAAAATTTATACCATTATCGGAATATATTCGCTGACACAGTCCTCTCCGGACGGTGAAACGGTCTAATGTAGCTAAAAATGCTTCGGTAGTTAACTCACTTACGAACTCTAAATGAACTGCTTTTGTACTAAAGCAAGTAAATAGTGCGACGTAGTCCTTAGTTATGGCTGCTCTTTTCACGACGCCTACTCTCGCGGACCGCGAATGGGCCTGCATAGTCCACTCCTATAATTATAAAAGCTCTGCTCTTCTTAATGACTCTTTCTGGAGATAAATCTTTCATTACTACCTCGGTCATGCTTGGTCTAAAACGAAAACATTTTATGCATCTTCGTATTATCTTTCTCTTCTTCCATTGATTAGCCAATATCTTTGGCGAATAGAATGAAGTAATTGCTCTGATGGGCAATGTTTCAACCGTATATGCTCGCGGCTTATAATTATATTTGTAACATGATTTTTGGCTGGTAAAATCATTTGATGCTTCTATAGATCGATGATTTCCGCATTGATAAGTCTGCCTCCCACACGAAGCAAGCCTCGTTTGTCAATAAAGGAATTTAGAGAGCGTAGAGGACTCTTTCGGGGAAGATCAACTCCTTCCGCTAAGCAGCGCAATTCACGAGGGAATTCCTGGGCTTGCGTCCATTTAATAATTGTAACTTTTGCGTTTTCTAGTTCATCTAGCATCAATGGGCCATATTTTCTTTGCTAAAGTTAATTGAAATCGGTGACAATAGGTAATGACACGACACAATTTCTCGTACGATGAAAATTTATGCAAAGGATTTGCTGTGTAAGTTGTCAAATTGAGTGATATCATTTTCATTTCGGGTAATTCCTTATCAAGCTCTTGTTGATCATCCGGTTGTTGATTGTGCTCACCATAATGGTCCCTGCCACCAAAGATGACTGTTTTGGAGGTCGTCTACATTCCTCTTGATATGAGGTCCGCAAGGTTCTGTTCGGTTGGCACATGTTGCCATATCATCGGCTTTCGGTAAGTTTCTTATATTATATTATAAGTTCTTATATTTTAGCTATTCTGTTTAAAACAAATGTTTTTAAAAGATAAGGTTCTGCTTTGATCCAACCGAGGACTATTGTGCTATCACTCCAAAAGCAAAAGTGATGAACTTTATCTCCATAAACTGATTTGACTGTTTGACAGCTGCGCAAGTAGTACGGCTCAAGTTCCAGTCTTAACATAATTTTAAGAGAGGTGACCTTGATCTTTGCACATAAAAGATGTGATGCGATATGACCTTTTTTATCTATGCTTGTAACATATAAGCATGCTCCGAATGCTAGCTGAGATGCGTCTCCAAAGCCAAATATGGCGATTTTGTCAGTGTTGTCTACGGAGTTGACATTTCTTGGAATAGGAACGTTGTTAAGATTCAGCAAAGAATAGTAATAATCATGCCATAATTGTTCATTCTGGTAGTGTTTGATCCCATTGTAACTCTTGCCGCCAAAGATTCTGCATAAATATTTTTCCTTTGATTAAAACTGGCGCTACCAGGCCCAAAGGGTTATAAACTTGAGAAACTGAGTCGGAGA